TGAGGGTAAGAGCAGGGGGACCTGGCCCCGCAGGAAGTGGAGACCCTATGGACAGCCTTTTCCTGAGCTTGCCTCAGGCAGACCAGGTGCTAGCGGAGGCACAGCCTCCTGGCAGGCTTCCTGCCCCCTGCCCCTGGGGGTGCCTCTCAGCCCAGAATAGCCTGCTGCGCTTGATACCTCGGCTCTTGCTCTCCATTTATGACCGAGCCGGCCTCCTTGCCTGTTTCCTTATTGAGTGTCTGCCCTGGCCACTGGCCCAACAGCCTGCTGGAGCCAGAAATAGAGCTGGTCAGGGGGCCAGGCTGCGTGGGGGGCACCCTGCCATGGCCACGCAGAGCTGGCAGGTACAAGGTGAGGGCAAACACCTTTCCCTGGCCAGACAGGCATCCTGGCAGCACAGCCGTGCTCGGAGGTGGGTGCTCAGCTCTGCAGTGTGTGTCTCCCGAGTCATGTGCAAGTCCAGTGACACCCCAAGCCCCTGGCTCCTGCCCAGGGCTTCATTTGTCTCATGACGGACTGCACGCTGCCCTCCCGCCGCAGCCAGAAAGACAGGTTGTTGGCGAGCTGACGGAGAAGGGGGACAGGGCTGTCCTGTTGACTGCCTGGCTGGGGACGGGTCGTGCTGCCGCAGTCCTGGCCCCATGTCTTTAACAGAAACTGAGTGCAAAGGACACCCCACCTGCCCACTCCCTTCTCGCCGCCCACCGCCAGCTGAGCTGGGGCAGCTAGGGTTACAGCAGTCTCCCCGCAGAGCCAGGGCACCTTTCGGGCAGGCTGCACACCCGCAGGGCTGCTCCTGCCCTGGGGCTTTGCCTTTCCCAGCCAGAGAGCATGGCCGGACTCTGAGCGGGGGGCTCAGACCCGTGGGGGGGACTCGCAGCTTTGTGCGCTGAGGAAGGATGTGGGCTTTCCTGGCCCAGGTGCTCATCGCCCTGGTGCTGCTGACCTTCTTCCTGGTCAGCTGCCAGAACGTCATGCACATCGTCAGGGGTTCTGTCCGCTTCCTGCTCAAACACGCCCACCGCGAGCTGGACAAGGAGCTCGGGGAGAGCCAGGGGCTGGCGGACGACGAGGAGACTCTCTCTACCAGGGTCGTCCGCCGGCGCGTCCTCGTGAAGGTAATGAGCAGGGAGCTGAGAGCCCAGCCGTGGGGCAGACGCAGAGGAGAGCAGTGAAGGGAAAGGGCAGGGCATGAGACAGAGACTGTGGGGTGCATGTCAGCTGTACTGTTCTGCCTGCAAAGGGGCTCTCTGCACCCCCCTGAAATGCCCTGCTGTCCCTCCTGTCACTGCAGGGGAACGAAGTCCTTCATCTCCCTGGAGAGCGGGTGACTGAGGAGCAGTTCACAGATGATCACGGCAATATCATCACCAAGAAGGTGAGTGATCAAGGGCATGGTGGGGGCAAGGGCATGCTGCAGCCTTTCTCCTCTCCCCGCTACCCTGCTCCTCCCTGCAGCCCAGGGGTCCGTGCAGGGCACCCACATCCCGCCGTCTTCGGTTACGGTCATGGCACTTCTCCGGCCAGACCCTGCGCATGGGACAGGGGCTGCATTCTCAGGGCCGGACTGGGCGAGGAGGGAGGCGTGGTGCCCGGGGGCTAGCTGTGATGCCTGGGGCTAGCTGTGATGCTAGCTGTGTGGGTCTGCACAGGTCATTCGGAAGGTGGTGCGTCAGCTGGGGCCCAGTGACATGGAGGACAGGCAGGAGCAGGAGGAGCTGATCCTGGAGGGTTCCCTGCAGGAGCCCCAAGACCTGGAGGCTGAGGACGATCGCTTCATGAAATACTCCATCCTGCACCGCGACGGTCTGGGGGCCAAGGTACTGTGTGGCTTATAGCTCTGCCTTGCAGGCACCCTGCCCAGGGCCAGCACTGCCTCGGCGGGACTCACAGGCTCCGGGGCTCCACCACCCTCTGTCCTTTCTTCTGCCCTGCTTTCCTCTCCTGTCTCCCTTCTAAGGCTTCCTGGGGCAGCTCTTGCACACTGCGCCAGTCTTGCTCAGTGTCTTCTGCCAACTGACTCTGCCTTTCCCTCTCCTGTCCTCTTCTGTGTGTCTGTCTGTTCACCTGGGTGATGTCCTGCTTCCTGCCCCTGCGGCTTCCTCAGGAGGAGGTGCGAGTGCGTGTCCCGAAACCAGAGGTCTCCGGGGGCAGGATGGGGGCTCAGGTAGTGAAACGAGCCAGCCTGAAAAGGGGGAAGCAGTGACCCCTCAAATGGCCTCTTTTGAGGTAACCCCACCTTTGCTTCTCCTTCTATCCCAGCTCCCCACGCTGCTGCCTGCTCATGCACATCCTCCTGGGGCAAGTGTCCAGGGCCGTGCCCAGCTCCCGGCTTGCAGACAGGGGCTGCTGTGCTGCAGCAAAGTGCTGAGGGTGGGCAACAGCACGCCCCTGCTGCTAACCCAGGGCCTGGGCCTGGGTGCAGTGGGCAGGGGATGCCCCCTCCGCAGCGATGCTCCAGCCAGCCTCTGGCACTAGCTCAGCACCCCGCTGCACCCGCAGCACCAGGTCCCAGCAGCTATGGGTGCTCAGGGCAGTGGTGCCCCGTGACAGGGCCGTGGGGTTGTTACTCCTGGTTATGCAGGGCTGCAGCAGAGGGCTGATCTTTGCCCAAAACCGCTCCAAGGAGTGGATAGCGTTTGTGTGGGGTCTCATCTCCATCATCCATGAGCACTAACTCCGCAGCCTTGGAGCTTGGTGCCCCTGGTTCGCCTTCCCACGGGGTGCAGCCGGGTGAGGGTGTCACAGTTCTGCTGCCTCTGTCGCAGCACTCCTGGGAAGTTCAAGGCGCCTGCCACTGCCAGCCACGCATCGTGGCACGAGAGGGCGGCAGTGAGGTCTGCTGAAGCTGCTGTGGCCAGGAAAGGGGGTGCAGGCCATGGCAGGATGCTGGTGGACATCAGGGCAGCAGGGATGCAGGAGGGGCAGGGTGCAGGAACATGATGCTTGTAGGGGTTGAGGGCAGGGGACCTTGTCTTTGGCCCAGGGCATTGATCCGCAGCGTCAGCACTGGATTCTGCCTTGAGTGTTGTGCATTCCCTGCTCATCCTGCCTTCCCTGTTGGGTGGGACTAGACCAGGCTCCAGGCAGGGGCGGGCGGTCCTCTGGCCTCTGCTGTACATGCATGGCTGTGTCTGTCTGTCCTCCCTCTCCTTCCTCTCTCCACTGTGTTAGTGGGCTCTCTGGGTGCGCAGGACAGTCGAGAGGCCTGTGGATACCTGTTCCTGCAGACCGTGTCCCCACACCTACTGCCTGCCCCACTCCACAGACAGCCCCTGGGTCTGCCTCTCTCTGGGGCAGTGCTCCTGCTGCCCTTGCTGGTTTCTGTAGCGTGCAGTAGTGGCCCAGGGTGTGTATGAGGAATGTGTGGGGTCTTACCCACTGCTGGGAGTGTGTGAGGTGCAGTCGGTCACCCCGTTGAGGCTGGGAGCTCAGGGATGGCCTCCTCTATCCCAGAGCCTACAGCAGCCCTCCCAGCCCCTACCCAGTGCCATGTTGCCTTTGGTGCAGCCCAGCTCCCGCTCGTTGCTGCTCCCCGCAGCAGCACTGATGCCATCTATGCCATTGCTGCTGGTTCCAGGCAGGACACTTAATGGTGCCCTGTCGCTGTCTCTCCTGTCTCTCCCCCAAAACTTGGCTTGTGGTAGCTGGGCGGGATGGGGGTGTGGGACAAGCACAGGGTGAGACAAGCATAGGGTGCAGAAAGGGCTGGGACTGCCATGAGCCTGGCTGCTCCCACCCCTTCTCGTGGCTGTGCCACCATGGATGCCTGGTAACCCCATCTGTCTCTGTGTGTCTCTCCAGGATTTCACCTCAACACCAAACCACTGAACTCCACACACGTTCTGACACATACCTGAGAAGAGAGGAGAGGAAAGCAGAGAGTGGAGGGGAGCAGGGCTGGCTGTACATGTTTCTATAGGCTAATGGCATGATTTCTGTATGAGACATACTTACCGTCCTATCCGCATGACTGACTGACTGCAAGACGCATGAGCTACAGTACTTAAAACTGACGGAGGGGCCTCCGTCCCTGTCCCGCTGCTGCCAGAGACAGCAGCATGCACCAGGGGCATCCTCGCAGCTCCTCTGGCAGGCAAGAAAACAAGAGGGAAGGAGCCTCCACCCTCGTGCGTTCGCGTGTGTCAATGCATCCCCAGGCCCGTGCTCCAGCTGCAAGAGGGAAGCGGGGGCAGCATGGTGCTGCTCGCCATGGAAGGAGAGGGGCTCAACCCCCCATTGCCCTTGCTGCCTCTGCTGAACTCGCTTCTCGTCCCTCTCAGTGAGTGTTGGGTTGTGGGGAGAGCAGCAGTTGCCAGGGGGTGAGATGAGGGTTGCAGGGAGCACAACTGCCCTGGGCAGAGGGGCTGGCGCAGGGATGCCCTTCCTCTCCCCAGCACATGCAACGTCTCCTGCCAGGGCAGGGCTCTGGGCTGAGCACTGAGCTCGTTGCTTGTGTTGAAAGTGTAAACTGTACAGCAATCAGCCTTGTGTATATGAACCAATAAATACTATGCAAACCCCTAGGGACACTCTAGCAGTATGTACAAAGCACTAACAGCTCCGCTCCCAAATACCTCTTCAGGCTGCAGGACAGGCAAAAACCTTTGGAGTATGTGAGCAGCTCTGGTGAACGGAGCTGGGAGGCTATAGGAGTAAAAGGGGAGCAGACTACCCCTGCCCTGAGCCCCTCCAGCTGAGCCCAGTCCCTTCCAGGCCCAAAGAGAGGGGCCCACAGGTGCAGTCCCATGGACCCATCCGTGGTGCAAGCCCCAGTTTGTGTTGGCTCCAGCTGGGGGGAAGCTGCAGGCCTGTGCTGAGGTGCTTGGGGTGCAGGGACGATGAGTAGTGAGGCAGAGCCATGGGGATGCTTGTGCCACACACAGGGTTGTGCCCAGCTCTACTCAGCACAATATCTGCTCAGGAGATGAGCCAGGAGCTGGCGGGAGCCAGCAGGCCTGTGCTATGCACCCCGTGGAAGGGCTTTGCAGGGTCTCCTGGCCCCGCTGCGAGGGCACATGGTGAGCGTCGCCCGTTGACCCCGTGGCTGCTGATCCTCCCAGGACCAACCCCAGGGACAGGGGGCTGAAACGCCCTGCTGCAGCAGCCTGGACCAAGCAGGGAGCAAGGGCAGCCTCGGGGCCAGCGGCTCTAGCAGGAGAGCAGTGATGGGCAGAGCTGCCCAGGGAACTCTGAGGTGTGCAGTGGGTTGAGCCTGCTCCAATACTTGACCCCAGGAGGGCCGGATGCAGGTGGTGGCAGTAGGTCCCATGTCCCTGACTCTGTCCTTTACCTAACCAACGTGGGGGCCTGGTCTTTGTAGCACAGTGGTGTGGGGACCCTCTGCTCTTTCTCCGGGAGGTGGCCGTGGACCTGTTTCACAGAGCCTGAGTTTGCTCTCTGTGGCCATGTGCAGAACGAGCCCACCTCCAGCTTCAGGCTGGTGGCCCTGGTAGGGGGGGGGGTGCACATCTGCCAGGAAAGTCCCCAGTTCCCCTGCAGTCAGGAAGAAGCCGAGCTGCAGCAAAGCAAATGACCCAGCTTAGCCTCGGAGAGCAAAGCAGCCCCTTCCCCAACCCCAAGTTGAGCCATATAGGCACAGACTCTCCATCCATCACCCTTGCTGTGTACAATAACCTCCCCAGACCCACTGCGACAGCTGACTCCGTAGCATCACCGTAGAGTTGTGTGTGGGTCCTGTGCTTTGGCCTTGTATGCGCCTTAGGGAATGTGCTGTGCTGCAACCGTGCCAGGCACCTGCAGTGACATTGCTTTGCGCTCAGATTGCTCGTAGGGCTGGTAGGGGGAGGCTGCACCCGATGTCGAGCCTAGAGAATGCTGCAGTCTGCACACTAGAAGCTTTTTAGAAGTTTTAAAAATTACTTTTATTTCCTTTTTTTAATTGTTATGGAAACAAGCCTTTTGGATCTCCCTGTCTTAGCCCCTGATGTATAGATCATTCCCCTGTACACCAGCTACCAGATTATGAATTAATAAAGAAACCGACACAGACTGAGTCTCATCTCTGCTTTTCCAGGGGTACAGGGGAGGCTGAGGCTCCGGACTGCGTGGCCAGGTGGG